CAGCAGGGCCACCCCGTGTGTCAGGCGCTTCCGAGGCGCCAGCTGAAGCTCCTGGGCGTCTGTGGCGAGCACCACAGTGGAGAGAAGCAGCGGCCACAGGCGGCAAGTGCAGGGACCCAAAGCTGAGCCCCAACCAAGAGCACCCCACTCAGGAGGGGAGCCAGCCCCACGGAAGGGAAGACCCCAGAGAAGTAGAATCCACAACCCAGGACAGGGGTTAACAGGACAAACAGACCAAGACTCTACAGACACTTCCGGGTTTGTCAGCAAACATTCACCATTAGCCACAAACAAGCCCCCAGCTAATTCTAAAAAGGACCCCAATAAAACAGTTAGACCTGAAAACAAGTAGAACCAAAAAGGACTATCACATCTGCCTTCTCACCAACTTTCTAGATAAACTTTAAGAGAACATCAAAGTAGACGCAAGTGAATTAGAAATGGACAAGGAGAGCACTACACACTGGGGTGTGGGTGGTCTAACGCAGCGGCCAGGAGGAGCTGTGCAGAGCCTTCAACACATTTATTAAAAAAAATTAAGAAAGGGTGAGCTGAAATAAGCTGTTTTAACTCGAGAAACTTCAAACAAAATAACAAAATAAACCCCCAAAATAGAAGAAAGGGACTTTTTTTAAAAAGCAAAAACTAATAAAGTAGGATATAAAAATGTAGATATGACCTACAAAATTAAAATCTGATTCTTGGAGAGGGGAACAAAATAAACATGAAGGGGCCCTAGCCAGTTTGGCTCAGTGGATAGAGCGCTGGCCCTCAGGTGAAGGGTCCTGGGTTTGATTCCGGTCCAGTGTACCTACTTGGTTGCAGGCTGCATCCCTGGACCTGGTCAGGGTGTGTGGGAGGCAACCAATTGATATGTCTCTCTCACGTGGATGTTTCTCTGTGTCTGTCTCTCCCCCTCTCTCTTAAAAAATCAATGGAGCACTAACCGGTTTGGCTCAGTGGATAGAGTGTTGGCCTGCAGACTGAAGGGTCCCAGGTTCGATTCCGGCCAAGGGCATGTACCTTGGTTGAGGGCACATCCCCAGTAGGGGGTGTGCAGAAGGCAGCTGATCGATGTTTCTAACTCTCTATCCCTCCCCCTTCCTCTCTATAAAAAGTTAATAAAATATATTAAAAAAAATCAATGGAAAAATATCCTTGGGTGAGGATTAACCAAAAAGACCGCCCCCCCCCAAACAAAACAAAACAAAAACATGAAGGAGAAAAAAAGAAACACAGACACACGACCTTAGGAAGGGGGACAATTTGCATATTAGCCTTTTATTATATAGGATTACATAGGATGTGGCAAAAGAGGCTTTGCAGGTGTAGTTAAGTTGAGGATCTTCAGATGGGGAGAGTATCCTGGATTATCCAGGTGGGACCAATATAATCACAAGAGTTCTTATAAGACGGTGGTTCTCAACCTTGGCTGCACATTAGAATCACCTGGGAGTCTTTTTAAAATCCTGATTTCTGGGCCTCATCCTCTGGAAATTCTGTTTCTTTGTTATGGGGTGGGGCCACAACATTAGTAACAAAGAAACAGAATTTCCGGAGGATGAGGCCCAGAAATCAGGATTTTAAAAAGATTCCCAGGTGATTCTAATGTGCAGCCAAGGTTGAGAACCACTGGTGTAACCCTTCCAGATCAGAAACAGCGAGTCAAGGCCGAGTTTCCCCTCCATCGCTGTAACCTTTAGGTTACTCTCTTAGAAGCAGAGTTTATAACTTCCAAACTTAGAAAGGGGAAAAAACGAAAAAAAAGTTAATTTAAGGGAAGGCAGAAAAGGAGAAAAAAAAGAAATAGAACCGGTAGATAAGAAAAGCTCAAACTGCCAAAACCGGTTTGGCTCCGTGGATAGAGCGTCGGCCTGCGGACTGAAAGGTCCCGAGTTTGATTCAGGTCAAGGGCATGTACCTGGGTTTCGGGCACATCCCCAGTAGGAGGTGTGCAGGAGGCAGCTAATCGATGTTTCTCTCTCATCGATATTTCTAATTCTCTATCTCTCTCCCTTCCTCTGTGTAAAAAAATCAATAAAATATATTTAAAAAAAAAGAAAAGCTCAAACTAAAAGGTTAGTCCATAATCCAAGTACGTTGCTGAGTATATTAAATGCAAAAGACTATGCTGCTGTAAAAAAGAAGGAATTCTTACCATTTGCAACAGCATGGATGGAACTGGAGAGCATTATGCTAAGTGAAATAAGCCAGTCAATGAAAGA